ATAGTTTGGTCAGGAGTGTGAATTATGTGTGAAATTACTACATTTTATATTTTATTTAACGTAAAATGTCAAATAATAGCCTGGGATATCAAGCAATTTAGTGGCTGAGTTTGTAGAGCGTTGGCCTCTCTCTTTTGAATGTTTTTATTTTTGCTGCTACTGGACACCTGCATTTCTCCAACGGGAATTAATAAAGTATCTATCTAACTGAGCCTGAAGGTCATGGGTTTGAACTTTTTCCACTGACTCCCACTGATGTCTGCTGTCGTTGTGTCCTTGGGCAAGACACTTAACCCCACTTTGCCAGAGGCCCCCGCTGAAAGACCAAGGCTGTGTTGTCTCCTGTGGACTCATGGAGGGTCCTGACCCAGAAATGGACCAAGGGGAAGAAGATGGATGGATTGAGCTGTTAAAAATGAAACTTATGTGTTTTTTTTTTTCTTCTTGCATTTTTGGCCAGTGCGACTTATAATACGAAAAATACAGCGCATAACATTTAAACCACAACAAATTAAACAAGAAAATAAAATTGCAAGAAAGTTCCAAGCTCAAAACAGAGGTTCTATCGCCAGTATTCACATGAATGTATTCTTGGCGCCCGTCACATCTAAAGATAATATTTTTCAAACAGGAAAGAGATGACCACCTTCTTTCTTATTAGAATGCTAAAGATAATAGTATGACGGTATTTTTGACCACTTTTCATGATCTTGCAAATATATTCAAACTGTTTTAGTTTCCTGCTCTGTTTGTTTTGTTCTTGTACTTTTAACCCTGTTTTATTTATGTACTTGTCTTGCGCACACTGGGGACTCACGCAAATGTATTCCAATGTGGTTTTACTGCAAATGACAAACAAAAATGAATATTAACATGTTGTGGCTTCCTTGTGCACACCCATTACTCGTTTATGGAAATATTTAGGTACCTCAGCTTTAACCACAACTGCCGTATGGAGAATGAAGCCAGAATGAATCAACAGACAATTTGTTCCGTCTGAATGTGACCCTGTAATCCTTTGTTCTGTACATGTGTAGGCAGAAAATGTCCGGAGTCCAAATTCCCACATCTCCTTAATGCTGCTGATCTGGTGCCTGGTCCGAGATGGGCACGTCTAATGCACAAAGTCTTGTTGGGTATTGATTTTGAGCAACAGTGAAGGAGTGTGGGCGTTTACTCATCTGATTGGCTGGCAGATAGTGACCCCCTCACTCCAGCTGCCAACGAGATAAAGAGACAGAGTGAAGGCATTCGGAGGCGAGGAAGTCAAGTGCTGAGCTGGAGGAAGCAGCGGATCTGTGCCAATGCATCCAGTCCAGGATCGTTCAAAAAGTAAACAGCCGGAATCATTGGAATTCAGAAAAACCTCGGTTGATAAAAAATTAATCATTTTGATGAATTATTCCAGTGGTTTCCAACCTCTTTAGGACTGTGTTCTCCAGCGCCAGCATAGACAGGGGTCTTGTACATCAGAGGTCAGACCAGTGAGGGGGTGGGTCCAGGCTCAAAAAGGTCCATGAGCACATTACATGCTGCAATCTCAGTCCTAACCGGGGGGGGGGGTACCTGGAAAGAGAATTAGCCAATGCATTTGTATGGCGCCTTCTTTCCTCTCAAAAAAAACGTCTTTACAAGATGGTCCAAAAGTCACACATAGCCCAACGCTATGTTTTATTTTAATCAAATGATTAGTAAAATTAGTACAAACTTGCACTGAGTATTTTTAATCTCCTCCGGCTTTTAATACTGTGCTCCTGTGTATTTAGACCCTGTGCCTTTGTGTATTTAGACCCTGTGCCTCTGTGTATTTAGACCCTGTGCTCCTGTGTATTTAGACCCTGTGCCTCTGTGTATTTAGACCCTGTGCTCCTGTGTATTTAGACCCTGTGCCTCTGTGTATTTAGACCCTGTGCCTCTGTGTATTTAGACCCTGTGCTCCTGTGTATTTAGACCCTGTGCCTCTGTGTATTTAGACCCTGTGCCTTTGTGTATTCAGACCCTGTGCTCCTGTGTATTCAGACCCTGTGCTCCTGTGTATTTAGACCCTGTGCTCTTGTGTATTCAGACCCTGTGCTCCTGTGTATTAGACCCTGTGCTTATTATTTGTAATCTCAATGGTAATTTGGGTTAGCACACAGGGCCACATAACTGGAGCCTGAGTTTGGACATGCCTGGGTTACGGTATGTGACCGGCTCAAATATGTCTCTGAATGGAAACGGTTTTTCTAACCACTAACCACTGCTTTTAAAATGGGTACAAATCCTGCATGGACGGAAGGTAAAATGTACCTTACAAGTAACTGCTCGACCCTCTTTGCTGCAGTCTGTCCACAGCAGCTTCAAACAGTAAACAGCAGCGGAATGACTTGACCATAATAGGCAATTTTGTTATTTCAAGCTTGGCTAGGCTGTAAATTCAAGTTTGTTTTTTCTAACTTTCTGTTGAAGTCGAAAATGACAAGCAATTTCCTAGTATACGAAGCAATTAGGGAGCTGTTTGTCAGATTGGAAGAATTGTTTACACAGTTTCAGAAAAATCAGTGATAATCTCCTGTCTACTGCGAATCCTCCACTTCTCTCTGCTGCTCGTTGGAGAGAGGGGCAGTTCTAGGCAAAACCAAGATGTCATTCTTTATAACGTATGTACTATATTTTCCACATCTGCCGAGTCTTTAAAGCCCAGCAATAACCACAGTTCCCCAGGTCCTGGCCATCACATCATCAGAGCTACTCGTCTCAGACACATTGTGCATCTCCTCGTGACCCGGCAGCATGTTGTTGTCCCTGTGGCCCTCGTGTACGGCTCCTACATCACCGCGGAGAGATGCACGGCTCCGTAGAAGCTCGGACGACTCTGCAATCTGCTGCTCTGCACACAATTTGAGATGACAGGTTAAGTGCCTTACCAACCCTCTGGGCCTGCTAATACAAGGGACTGGGACCTGAAGACACAGACAGAGACTGGGCTGAGCTGGGCTGGGCTGGGCTGGGCTGGGCTGGGCTGGGCTGGGCTGGGCTGGGCCAAAAGCACAGAGGGCAACTATGAAGCCGTAGGGAAAGAACATGGTGATAATGACAGTGTAAGGAGTTTTCCAAAAAAATAGTTTATCTTTAGGGATGCAAATTTCAATATTGGTCTCAGAGGAATAAGGAATAATAGGAATAAGTTAAAACTGTGGTACCTATTGTCAAATACAAGTAATGGAACTACCTCTATGCAATAAAATCCAAATCAGATTCACTCTTGCACTGCAAAAAAATGACAAAATATTACAAAATATAAGGTTTTTATCTTAATTTTAGTACATTCCGACTGTCTTAAAACATGATTTGCCAATGGATCAAGCTGTTTAGTCTTATTTCAAGTCCGGTTGCAATTTTATTTATCATTCCAAGAAAAATATTTCTTGAATGTTCTTTTTTAAACAAGACATTTTTGCTTGTCCCATTGACAAATCTTGTTTTTAGACAGTCAAAATGTGCTAAAAAAACTAAACAAAAAAACACTTGATTCAAGCATTTATTACCCTATTTTAGCAGTGCATTAGTTTGGTTCTGTCTAGTTTTGACTTTACATTTGTTTGGCTCTTGTCACATCTTTGTAAAACCTTTTTACAGACAGAAACATGAACAAGAGAAAACCAGTCTCACTCAGCTCTGAGCCCAAAGCATCAAAGAGTGACGCACGAGGTTTTCTCATTAGATGAAGACGGATTATTGTGGTCAGATTTGTTCCCAACATTTATTCTTTCTATTGTTGGAAAAACATGCATTATTTATGTAAAGAAAGTGCTTATACTCTGTGTCTGTCAATGCTCAGTAAAATGTGTTTTATTCACTCACATTGGTCTTTAGTTCATCCCAGGGAGTGACAATAGCTCAGATGTTAGTGCCATATGAACCAACTCTGAGGAGCACAGGGACTGGCCTCCTGCTGGGACTCTGAGGAGCACAGGGACCTGCCTCCTGCTGGGACTATGAGGAGCACAGAGACTGGCCTCCTGCTGGTCCCAGAGACAGGACTAAACATCGGGAGAAAGAATTTCAGATTTATTATTTCTTTATTTGAATGGGACAGTGCATGTCAATGAACAGACACATTAAAAACATGAATGTAAACATGTTTTTAGATTATAGCCAAAGGCTAATTTCCATCTGTATTCCCATAGGGTCAGGGTCACACGGGTCAATGCTTGCTAAAATCTGGAACAATCTTCCTGAAAATATGAGACCGGCCTCTTCTCTGACAGTTTTCAAATCCAGGTTGAAAACAGTTTAGCAACTGTGGAATTTTATATTTTCTCTTTTTGTTGCACTGAGGATATCTCTTGTTTTAATCCTGTGTGATATTTTATTCTCTATGTTTTTAATATTTAGGATTTTCTTGATATTTTATGGGTGTGAGCCAGTTTGTGTTGCCTTGTGAAAAAAGGCGCTATACAAATATCCCATGAATACCCAAATGTGTCTGTAAACTGTGACTGTAAATATTTACAAACGTAGTCACGCCTTTCTCCGCCGTTGAAACTAATGTGCCACTACTTTTGCCTTGCGTGGCTTTTTCAAAATGGCCACAGGGCACAAAAATGCGAAAAACCAATTTGTGCATGTCTTAGCTGCACTAGCCCCATTCATTTAACGAGTGCGTTCAAAGGTCCACAGCGGCTAAACTAGACCGGTCCAAACCAATATTCCCCTCAACATCGACAGCATCTGGAGCGTAGCGTTGGACCAAGAGGGACTTTTGGACCATCCTGTAAAGACGTTTTTGAGAGGAAAGAAGACGCCATACAAGAGCATTGGGTAATCCTGTTTCCGGGTACACCTCCACCAGAAAGGAGTGAGATTGCAGCATGTCCGCCCATGTGCTCATGGACCTTTTGGAGCCGGGACCTGCGCACACAGGTCCGTATGATGATGTAGGAATATATTTGTGAATGAAAAGTTTGTCGTTCTTTGTTGTAAAGTGGCGAGACAAAAATAGACGTGTAAGCCAGCGATCAGTTTAATGATCTAAAGTAGAGCGTGACCGGTACAGTACACGTTTCTCCTACGGCGTCGGGGCCGTAGGAGCCGAGCGACCCAGGCCTGGAGTAAAACAAACACTGGGATGAAGCATTTGTCTGCGGCCCCTCCTGGGCGGGGTGACAGGCAGCGGCCCCACACTGATTCCATCACTCTGACAGGCCGATTCGAGCAGGAGAAGAGTTAATTGCTGTGGGACCGCTGCAGCCTTCAACATCCATCAACAAATCTCCTTCTGGCTCTGTGAGGTTGGAGGTTGGGTGCAGCGCTGAGAGCATGGGGATACAGCGGGGCTTTAGAGGGCAAAGATGTGTGGGAAACATCTGATTTCCTTTGACACCAAGGCCAAATAACCTTCACAACAAAACAGGGCTGTAAGATGGGAGGCCTTTACAGGAGAATGCATTTCCAGTGTTCTATTACAAGATCAGGGAATTCTGAGCATCGCAGAAGAATGTGAGGAAGACTGCAGCAGGTAGCAATCTTTAGACTCATGCATTGATTCTTATTTCAGATTGGCCACTGCATACAACCAATATGTGTTTGCATTGGTCCGTCCTTTTCCCACATTTGCGAATAAATAATTGACTTTAAATAAATATTGTATCCAGTATTTATTTATTTAGTTGAATTTAGGACAGTACATACTAATCAATGTGTTGGCAAACAGCGTCAACAAAAAAAAGCTGGAATTAGCACAACAGCTAAATTGCCTCCATTGCCCTAAGACAGAAACATACAAACACACAAGTAGAAACATACGAACACACAGGTAGAAACATATAAACACAGTACAGACAATCAACATAAAGAATTTAAAAGAGAAGAGAAAGAGAAAGTCCAAGGAAAAGCAGTACTTAGATCTACTCAGTCTGCTCCATTGCTCCGACCACCAAGATCTGGTTTGGAGCAGGTCGAACGATCCTACTAAATCTAACGTCCCTGTACCTCCTCAGCATGTCACTATTGTCCTGCTGCGATTGCTCAGACAGTTGAGATCTAACAATTACACCTCATTAGCATGCCACTATCGTCCTGCTAAGACTGAATCAGAATCAGAATCAATTTATTTGCCATTTGCAGAAAAAAACTACATTGGGGGCACCAACACAACAATGCACACACACAAACAGAATAAAAATAGCGAGACACAGTGAGGCACATATAAAACTCTTAAAAGCATTATGAAGACGCTACGATGGAGCTCCAAGAGAAGCAGATCTCAGGACGCTCTGTTCAGTCTTATAATCGCCTGAGGGAAGAAGCTATTTGCATGGCGGGTGGTCTTGCACCGCACGGACCGGAATCTCCTCCCTGAGGGAAGAGGCTGGAACAAGGCCGCTCCAGGATGACCAGAGGAGTCATTTACGATCCTCAAGGCACGGTTTAAGAGTCTGCTCTCATACAGAGCCTCCAGAACGGGCATCTCACGGTTCACAGTCCTCCGAGCAGATCTAACCACTTTGTTCAGAGCTCTCTTTTCTTTGGCAGTGATGCTGATCGCACCAGCAAGTAGGCTTTCTATGGTGCAGCGGTAGAAGTTCAGCAAAATCTTAGATTTTTTAATCTTATTTGTAAATTCTCTAAGTTTCCACAGAAAGTATAGACGTTGGCGAGCTTTCTTAACAATATGGTTGGTGTTTTTGTCCCATCTCAAATTGTTAGACAAAGTTAGACCAAGAAATCCTCAACAATCTCCACCTGAGAGTTTTCAATGACCACAGGTGAGTGGGAGAGAGAGTGACCACGGCTGAAGTCGAACACCAGCTCACATGTTTTGAACGTGTTCAAGAGGAGGTCGTTGTCTTTACTCCAGTTGACAACATTCTCAACCTCTGCTCTGTATGAAGATTCGTCCTTCTCACTGATAAGACCAATAAGGGTGGTGTCGTCTGCGTATTTAATGATCAGATTTGAGTCAGAAGAAGCAACACAGTCATGGGTGTACAATGTGAAAAGCAGAGGACTCAGAATACACCCCTGAGGAGATCCAGTGCTCACAAACGCTTTATCTGAAAGACGGCCACCTATTCTAACTCTGCCGGTGAGAAAGCTGTAAATCCATTTACACATGGCTTCGCACAGCCCGAGGGATCTGAGTTTTTCAACCAGTTTACCTGGGACTAGACTGTTACAAGCAGAGCTGTAATCAATGAACAGCATTCTGGCCAGAGATTTAGCATTGTCCAGATGACTGTACACTTCAACGCTCCTGTTTTCTTTGTACGCAAACTGGAGCGGGTCGGTGCCGGAGGGGATCTGGCTCTTAACAAAGTCCAATACAAGCCGCTCAAAGGTCTTCATTAGAACAGATGTGAGAGCAACCGGACGATAGTCATTAAGGCCTGTCACTGGAGTTTTCTTTGGAACCGGGACAATGGGGGACTTTTTAAAGCAGGCCGGCACCGTGCAGTCCCTCAGTGACAAATTGAACATGTCTGTTAGCACAGGGGCGAGTTGTTCTGCACACAGCTTCATAACGCGAGGGGGGTGTATCGTCTGGGCCTGCGGCTTTTCGGGTTGGGGTTCTGGACAGGACCCGCTGCACTTCCTCCTGCGTCACTGTAAAGGCTGCTTGGTCTATACCAGGGGTTGGCAACTCAAAAGGTTCAAAGTGCCATATTTGACAAAAAAACTAAAAACAACATCTGTCTGGAGCCACAAAAAAATAACAGCCTTGTATAAGGCTTATATGAAGGTAACACAGGCTGCAAGATGTATTAGCTATAGTAGCCTAATATCTAAATGACAAAGTAAAGGCTACAAATACATAATAATCATTCATGATTATCATATCATGTGTATTTTCACTGCAGCGTGTCGCACCACGCGTGTCGAGAATGACGCACCACGTGACGACTCTGCCTTAGTTTAACTTCCATTTTTTTGTCTTCATGCAATTGTAGAAATAAGTAATAAGTAAAGCAGTAAAGCAGTAAATAAATCTGCTTTGGGTTCAGAGTTCACATACCTGCATCACTGTCTGCTCATATTGATCACGTCACAGGCTGAAGTTTGCTGGAGCTGAATTAATATCCTTAATGGCCTTTTCTTTCACCGTCTTTGCGAAGGTTTTGAAGTCTGAAAATAGGTGCTCTGATTTTTTGATGAATGAATCCTTCACGTAATCCCGGTGAACTGTGTTTTGCGCGTCCTTGTTCCTCGTGTTGCAACAAAACTTCTCCTTACAAACATGAAGTAGTCCTTCTTCATCGACTGAAAGCAAATGTTCATTCTTAGTCCAGTCTTATTACCAACTCTTTCTCGTTTTAGCTTTGGGATCCCTGTGCACTTACAGTCTATGATGCACACACACCGGTTTGTTTACAGCAGCGGAAGAAAGAGTTGAAATTAAATATTACTTATGCACATTTTACATGTTTAAATGTTTTTCCACTTTCAGAAACCACATTCAAATTAGAAATAAAATATAGCCCTCACACTCCATTCTCAGACTTTTCTTGAAAAGGCTCCAGGAGCCACTCCAGGAGCACTAAAGAGCCGCGGGTTGCCGACCCCTGGTCTATACAGTCAAGGAAGACGACAGGTGAATCAGCGGCTTCAAAGCGACAGTAAAAGTTATTGAGCTCGTTGGGCAGAGCTGTGTCAGCGATGACAGTTCTGCCTGCGCTCGGCTTCCAGGATGTGATGGTCTGAATACCCTTCCACATTTGCCTGAAATCATTCTCTATGAAGTGTCCTTCTAGCCGCTCTCCATAGGACCGCTTAGCGGGTTTAATAGAGCATTCTAAAGCATATCTGGATAGCTTGTAAGCTACTGCATTGCCAGATTGAAAAGCTAACGCACCCTCACGGATTCTACTTTTTACTGCCAAAGTCATCCATAGGTTTTGACCGCAATGCTCTTTTATTATTTTTTGTGGGACACAGCAATCAACACAAAAGTCAATGTATCCCGTAACAGCATCACAGTATTCATCCACATTTTCCGAGTGGAAAACAGACCAGTCCGTGGCGTCAAAACAGCCCTGCAGCTTTAAGTTTGCGTCGTCTGACCAACACTGAACAGAACGAAAGGTTGGTTTCTGTAGCTTGCTCTTCTGTATATATGACGGCAGAAGCAGCACAGAAGAGTGGTCAGACCTCCCGAACACTGGTCTGAGGTAAGACCTAAAGGCCCCTTTAAGATTACTATAGCAGTAATCCAGAATGCGAGCGCCCCTTGTAGGCATGTGTCTACATGCTGGTGAAAGTTAGGGAGGACAGACTTTAAGTTACATTTGTTTAAGTCACCCGCTGCAATTATGGCTGCTTTGGGATAAGCACTCTCGCATTTATGCAAAATGTCACTCAAGTCATTTAACGCGTCAGCGGAGTGCGCTCGGGGGTGAATGTAAACAGCGCACAGAAACACTGCAGTCAGTTCCCGGGGGAGAAATAAAGGGCTGCACTTTAGCACAATACACTCCAGGTTAGCTGAACAAAATCTGTTAACCACGACATTGTCCGTGCTTCAGCGCTGGTTGAGCAGGATACATACCCCACCTCTACTGTTTTTTCCCGTGGACTCCTTATTCCTGTCCATACGGATAACGGAGAAGCCAGGTGGCAGAAACGCAGAGTCCTGAACACCACTGTGGAGCCACGTCTCCGTCAGACAGAACGCAGCTTATTCTACGGCCTCTCTCTGGACCCGGATTCGGCTCGCGAGGTCATCTGCTGTGTTCAGAAGGGACTGCATGTTCGCTGCTTGGGTGGAGTGAGGGTCTAACGATTCCACCTCATTAGCATGTCACTATAGCCCTGCTGAGATTGCTTGGGCAGTCAATGTCTAACGATTCTACCTCATTCACACGTCACTATTGTCCTGCTGCGATTGCTCAGATAGTTGAGGTCTAACGAATTCCACTCATTAGCATGTCACTATTGTCCAGCTGCGATTGCTTGGGCAGTTGAGGTCTAACGATCCAACATAATTAGCATGTCACTATTGTCCTGATGGCATTGCTCGAGTTGAGTGCAGGTCTTACGATCCTACCCTGTTAGCATGTCATTTCTGGCCTGCTGAGATTACCCGGGTGGAGTGCAGGTCTAACGATCCTAACTCATTAGCATATCACTAACTTTATCTTTTCTAACTGAAGCACAGATGATGGGTGACTAACCTTTCTTTGTTTTGAACCCTGTACAACTAAGAACTTCCACAAACTATCATGTCACGTAAAAGAATGCACCTAATGAACCAATCACTGCATATGGATCTTTTCATCACGAACCGATCTGTCTGAAATTAAGAGTAATACAAGCATCAAGTGTCACTTAGAGTCCTGATTACATTGAAAATCTCTATATAGCACCTGCC